TCCACCCTTCCCTATTTACAAAGACTTTATTTCCATTTTTTCCATTTCTCATCATTTTTCCTTTCCCTTCTTTCCTTTCCCCTGCCCTTCAATGCGTATTTATTTCATTGTGTGCATGTTCCTTCACTTATTTAACACTTACCTTGGTTTAATCAGTGAATATTTGTGTTCATATGTTTGTGAATCAAGCTGTAAGAAACCTTTTAAAAGAAGAGTTGCTCAGTCAAAAGACACGTGCATATGAAATTTTAATAGGCATTGCCAGATTGTTTTCCTTAGAGATTATATCAGTAATTACTTTGATCAGTGATGTACTTGCTTTTTATGACTTTTTTTTTTTTTTTTGAGGTCATTTCCAACCTGGTAGGTGAAAAGTTGTATTTCAGGGTGATTTAATTTGCATTCCTCAGTATCTTTTCCTTTGTAGCCCTCTTTGACTTGAATGCTCTTCTCCATCCTTCAGCCAATTCTTGTTTTTCCTTTGGGGTCAGACTCAGATATTACTGTCTTGGGAAACCTTGATAACCTTGCTGTGCACATGCCTCTCTGCCTACCAAAGCTGGGTTAAGAATTCCTCCTTATATCTTCATAATAGTAATCTGGTTATTTTCTTCTCTAGACTGTAAACTATTTGGGGGCAAGAACTCCATTTTATTATCATTCTCTTCATTCCATTAACAGTTATAACATTATTTTGTGTGTCTTTAAAAAGATATATCAATGACATATTCTTTAGCATTGAATCCTTTACAATATGTGCCTATTCTTTAGAAATTTGCTTTTATTTGCTGTTGGTTTTGAAACTTATCGATGTTGACACATGTTAATTCATTTTAAATGCTGTAGTTTTCCATTGTTTAGACAATTTGGTTGTTTGCAATTTTCCTATTTAAAAAATGCTACAATTAGAAGTACAAATAATTTTTCCCTAAGCGTTCAATGAGTGCTTGAATCCCCACTTTCTGATCAGCACTTGATAAATTTTAACCTTTTTCCAATATGATGAGGGTAAAATGGTAAAAGGGGTAAAATTCTTCTTTTAGCCAACAAAATTGAAACTTTGATTGT